AAATTCACTTCTCTTGAAGTAGATTTCCACCCATTCTTTTGCAAACAGTTATTTGTCACCTTTCATAACAGTTTGAAAGGAAAATCATGTGAGGGTCTGAATATGGTTTTTGGATTTCTGACACAGTGATGTCAGTATTGTAGGAAATCCCAGAAGAAAAGAGTGGAAACTGCAGTATTTAGTATCTCGTGTTATAGCACATTTACGTTTATCTGGCTTTTTTATTTTTCCTTTTAATTCTTTGAAGATGCTGTGAAGTTTCAATCATTTTGCACCTTGGCCTCTTTTTTTTTTTTTTTTTTGTTCTCCTATCAACTCATAAATAGTTAAAGTTTTAGGTAGAAGAGGATAATTACCATGTTTCCACTTGAAATATTGTAAAGCCCCAAGGCCCTGTCTTGGACAAATGTATTTTTCAGCAGCTCATTGTAATTTTGGTTTTGACTGAAGATCCAGCGAAGTTTAGATCCACACCCAGCCGCGGAGAAGGGTGCATTTTCAGCCTTTAACAATAGCTTTATTTAGTAGGATTTTAATGACTCCTTTGCTTTGGACTTGCAAAGGGGGAAAGATTTCTGCAGTGGGGGGGGACTGTCCTGAGGATTGCGGGATGGTTTCGTGTGCCGTGCCGTCCAAGTTGACAAAGAAGAGCCAAATCTGTGGATGATGATTATGCAAGATGGAAAAGTGCTGATAGACTGTGGAAAAATACAAGTCTGAGCCTAACCGCTTCGCAGACCTGTTTCAAAAAGCAGCTTTGAGTAGCTGACCTGGTGCTGTATGTGGGCGATCTATAGTAGCAGCGTTGTTAGTCATATTAGGGTGAGCAGGCTGAGGTGGGGAGGGAGAGGAGGGTGCTGAGGGTGCTTAGGGTGCTTGGTTTCATAGAGAGCAGGAGGCAGCTTTGTGGGAGTTTTTAAGTGACGGCAGTGATGGTTTTTAAGTGGATGGTTGTATAATTTCCATATGTAATACACTTTTAAGATTTTTTTTGTAATTTTTAGTAATCAAAGTAAAGTTTCAGATGATTGATCAAATAGAGAAAGGAAAGCCCAGACATTTGAGCTTCAGGTTATGGTTGAGTAGACTTTTGCTGACATCAGAAATTATTAATTGCACCACCTAAATTACAAAGATGTTATCTTGGCTCTGGGAGCCAAGAACACCGTAATTAGGGCTGTTAGATGCCCCATTCTGCTTCCTTGCTTTTGACTTTAACCATCAAGGCACTGGATCAAGGTAAAAGTGAACTAATTTATGTGGAGGGCTTGGGGTTGTTTTAAGAACAGCGTGAAATAGAGATACCTCAATTTGTTAAGATGCTGTCCTCTGGAGAAGCCACAGTCTTCACCCACGTGCAGATAGAGCCATGGAGCGGCGTGTCCTATGCTGTTGTACATTACACCAAATACGGTGTGATGGGCTTCCTGGGGGGGAAGAGCTTTTAGTGTAATGGATCATTGACAGCAGGTTAAACAGTGTATGTGCTTTAATTGCATGACTTTTTAGCAATATATGTTGTATGCCCATAAAGTTGCTTGCATTGGCATCTAATTTACAGAGGTCAGTGAATTCTACACGCGTCTCACTGACATTAAAACCGTGTCTAGCGTTACTCCAAAGGAAAGCATCAATAATTGTTTATGTAGGTTTTCAAAATTATTTTAAATTTCTTAAAGATGTTGTTTTCTTGTTCTCTTACGTCCTATTGTTCTTCTAGCTAGAGGCTGACCCCTCCCACCCCCCTACTGAAGTGATTTTTTTTAAATAAAGCTGAACCTGAGATGTCTGCTTTTAGCTGACATAGCATCTTACCTTGTCACAACAGCAGTGTGCATCAGTATCATCGCTTGGTGTCATCAGCATGCCTTCAAGAGCTGTGTTGCTTAGCTTCTGGCAGCCAAAATGCTAGACATCCATCCTTGGACCTCAGAATAGCTAATCTATTTTAATTGAGTAACAGATTAGTAAAATGAGCTGTTCAAAGTTTCCATCAGAACATAAAAGACTTAAAGCCCAGGATATACTTAAGGGGAAGCCACAACCATCAATGTATTCAGGTGCATGTTTCTACCTTTGTCCTCAGGCACATGTCCCAGTTCAGAAGGGCACTCAAATATTTCTGTAGTGCCTTAGATTGCCCAACTGAAGTCAACAGGGCTGGTTGATGCCAGTAAAACCACTTATGATTAACATTAGACGCATTCTTTAGATGCTGATGAACTGGGGCCAGTGATAGTTTAAGAATGGTGAATGATTGGAAATGTAATGTTTCTGTACATTCAAGATGGAACTGTGAGTCCCACAGAAGTACATTATTGTTTGTTTTTTGTTTGTTTGTTTGTTTGTTTTTATTTGGGTCATTGCCATATGTCCATAAGAAGGAAATTAAACTCTTAAACATGGAAAACACTGGCATTGATGATATTATTATTATAGGATTTTATTATAGGTTCAGGAATAGAAAAGATTATGTTAGTTGCTACACAAAACTTTGGAAAATGAGGAGCATATTCTTTTATGCAGTTATTTTAATAACTGTTTTGTAACCTTATTTATAGACTTATAAAATCTAGGAATTGTAACTGCTTTATGTTACAGGTTTTGGAATAGAAGTAAATATCAGTTATAGGGCCTGTTTTAAAAAACTGAAATTTAGAAGTAATATTAATTTTTCAATATTTTGCATTATAGTATTTAATTGCCTACTCTAAAAAAAAAAAAAAAAAGTGCTTCAAAGTCGTCTTTCAATTCTTTTCCAAGTTTTCAGTTTTTCCATACTAGGCACTGGGAGGAAAAGACTTCCCCCCCTCCCCCCCCCCCCCCTTTTACATTCCATGGATTTCTTTGTATGGTTAGCACATCTTTCATTCAGTTATGCTGAGGAAGATTTTGGAAAATAGCAAATAAAACTGTTATGTTGAATCTAGCTGGCTGGCTTTCTCAGACTCAACAGGTCTCACATTGTGTATGGAGTTTTATTTTAACATGTACTTCTATTGTGTATCACAGCACATTCCTCTTTAAAAATATCCAGGTGAAGGCAAATCTAGAAAAAAATTATATCTTTCCTTTAAATTGTAGCATCACCAGCACTGTAGACTACAGTGTTTCTTTCCAATCAGGAGAGCTGGAGTGTCTGTGGATTTACCAAATAGTGGAAGTCAATCAGAACTGGCAGGAGTGTGTTTTTGTAAGCTGGAGGACACCAGATGAAGGGCCACCTCAAGGCTCCATGAAACAGAGCCTGCAGCAGGGGTCAGCGGTTGGTCCCGGTGTCTGTCCCTGTCCATCCCTGTCCCTCCCCAGCCCTGGCTTGCTGAAACTGTTGGTCTGAGCTTCCCAGCTGGCGTTGTCTGCAGTGATACAGGGAAAACTGGCACAAATGACTGTGTTGGCAGGTTGATGAGGACTGTAACTGGGACCAAAGCAGCAGCAAAGAGCAGCTGCGAGCAGTAACCCCTTCTGCAGGCCCACAGAGGAGCGCGTCCCCGTGGCCACTGCTGCTCGTGTGGTTCAGCAAATTGTGCTGCGGTTAAGCTGTCCTCAATTCCCTGAAAGGCCTTGCTAGATATGGGTGAACAAAATATTCCTAAGTAAGCAAAAAACAATTTAAAATTATTAAAGCGTCGTTAAAACCCATACGGATAGCTGTTTTGTAAAGCTAAGTGAGAAAAATGAAATGCTTTTCATTTCAAAGTTGCTAAAGGTTATCTAGTAAGGCTATATACTAAGTCAGTGGTGAAGCTATGAATAAAATTCAAGAAAGCAGACATAGATTGCCTTTGTTTACATGATTCAATGACATAACACGCAATTCAATTTTAAATGCATATATTAAATATCCAGTATATCAGTTTGTGAATGGCTTCCACTCTATGGTCAAAAAACTCAATGCAGTCTCTTTGTTACAAGTTTGTAAAGCAAACAGAAATGCAATAGGGAGGAGAGTCTGGAGCTCCCAAAATCCAAGGCTGTGGTGATAAATAGCTAGAGAACTGCCAGGAGATGAGCTCTTACCACTAGATTTCACAAATGATCTATGAAATACATATTTATGCATTTCCAGCAGTAGTTATCCATCGGTGGACTGAAAGGTCTTCGCAGAGCTACTTACAGGACAGTGCTTCAATCCCAGCTTTATTGTTCTTGGAGACGGAGCACTTGTAAGCCAGTTTATAAATCTCTTCCTTAAGCAGCTTATTTTTAAGGGCATTTTAGGAGTGGAGCATCTGGCTTGACTTTTAGATCATTTGGATTCTGTCTGTTCTAACACTCAAATCGCTTCAGGCTTGGACTTTTTTTTTTGGTACTTTCTGTGTCCTAAACTTCCAGTTATGCGTTTCCCATTTACTAGAAAATGTTGAAGCTATCACACGCTGGAAGAAGGTAGTCCTGAATAGTAAGCTGTTAATATGTCTCCTTGAAAAGGATGTGTTGTGTGGCTCGGGAGGGTTATGTGCCATCTGAACAACTAGACTTTCAATTACTAAAATTTTCTGAGCCTGGTGATGCTGTTGAGGGTAGAGGTTGTTGCCCTGGTCTATGTAACAACTAGGTACAAAAGATCGCTTCAGGATGAATTTTTTCCTTGCATTTAAGTTCCATCTCTATGTTAGGGGTTAGCAAGTCAGTGCTGTGCCTACCTGGAGGTGCCTCCTTACCACCACCTTCCCCTGCTCTGGGACTGCAGGCATAAATTTTGAGGGTCACTGTAAAGTTTGTTTACTCATACAAACTTCCAGTTGAGTCAGTAAGAGTTGCATCATTGGTGCTACCGGCTTAATGATGGTATGCATTAGGTTTTGTGGCAACCATATAGTCAAGAGCTGTATGAATTTAGACTTGAAGTGCAATGAAGGTAAGTTAGGGAAATGAGCATACCGTTTTCATTTGGCAGCCACAAGTTGGATAAGGCTTATAGAAGTAATACGTTTCCTTTTGAATGATGTTTTGTCTTTTGACCCTTGTTTTCTGCCTTTGTTGTGTTTTTTCTCCAGCTGGGATGACAGCAGCTCTGTCAGCAGTGGGATCAGTGACACCATAGATAATCTCAGTACTGATGACATTAACACTAGCTCCTCTATCAGCTCCTATGCCAACACACCTGCCTCCTCCCGTAAAAACTTAGATGCACAGGTAAGATTTCAGGTTTGGACAAGTAACATTGGTATTTGTTATTTTCTCTCTGCAGTAAATATAATTCTTTTAAGTTGGATGAGCTTGAACACACAGACAGCCTTCAGTACGGCCTGTATCACTGAAAAGGCAATGTCAAGTAATAGTAACCGCCTTATCATACATGACATTTATGAATATTTCCTTTATGCGTGGAATCCCTGGCATCTCTGCTGCGGTGGTGTGGCAACAGATGGGTTTTGCCTTCCTAGCGGCACTGCTGTACAGAAAACATGCATCAGTAGATGGGATTTTTTTCTTAGCTCTAGAAAAGGTACTGTGTTTTTTCTTAAAGAATAGAATTTAATTAAGTCAACATGAAAGTTTAAATATTATTTATACTTCCATCGGAAATGTAAGCATACTAGGTAAATGAAATAGATTATTTTAAACTTCCAGGGCTGCGTGTTACTGCAGGCTTTGTATTTTTGGCAGCATTTCATAGGAAGATAAATTTTACATCCATCAGCAGCATATGTGTACATTTTGTGCTCAGACACCACACATCCAAAGAGGGTAAAACAATTGAAGGTATCCAACAGTTTTTCATTCATCAATTAGACTGCGTAGTACAGAGATTTGCAGTAATATAAGCTGGTTTTTTCCCCAGTTGTATGGAATTTTGTTTGGAAAAGTGCAGGACTAAGAAGTTCAACTTTGGTCTTTGTACACCCACCTGCCCTAGGGTCTCGGGTGTTGTGTGTCAAAGCAACCGGGATGCAGTGACTTGGCATTGCAGCGGGTAGAGGAGAGGGATGTAGGTATGACCTTCTCCTCTGTTTTTTTCCTTTTTTATTCTTCTCCAGTCCTTTTCATGACTGGACCCTAAATCTGGTTTTAATATCGGTTTTAATGTAGACGTGTGGTTGCTGTGAAGTGTTACTCTGCCTAGAGGACTGTGGTGCAAGCGTGTATTACTCTTTGTTCCCTTGCCACGAAGTGCATATTTGAGCCTACATTAAAGATTTCCAGTTAGCCTTTGGTTGTGTATCAGCAATTGCATGTGTGCTCAAAACTGCTAATACAAGTCCCATACAAGTTGAGAGGAGTTAAGATCTATGAAGTGTGTTTTTCAGTACGTAACAGAATAACATAGAAAACTAGAAATTGTTGACAATTGTTACTGTCTTAACATTGTAATATTGTTGGGAAAAAAAGGAAAAAAAGGGAGACATGACTAAACATTAACCTAAGGGAAAAAAAATAGAAACTCATTTCACTTCTATCTTCCGATGGATCAGATTCTTGGAAACACCTCTGAGAGATCAAAATCTTTGTTGACGAACTCCTCTTCCTCCTCCACAACTCTTACAGCATCTGCTGCAGACATACACCAGGAGAAAAGCAGCTGAAGCTTGTACAGACAGTAGAGCATAGGCATTAGAAGACGAAGCTGGGAGCTAAGACATACAAGTTGTGTTTCCAGTTTTTTGATGTGTGTCTGTGTTCTCTCCTAAGTTTTCATGGATGACAATATTTATTCTAGGTATTAGTGTTATCTGCAAATTATTATCCATAAAATACTTTGTTTTCATTTGAACAGAATACCCTAATCTTGTCAACCCAAGGGAATGAAAATAGCTTGGAGTGAAGGAACCATGCATAGCTTGCAGGGTTGATTTTTTTGCTGCCCGAAGTAGTTCTCACAGCTCATGAAACAGCGAATGCTACATATATGCCTTTTCTGTCTTACCTGGAGTACCGTGGGATGGTCTGTGCCCAGGTTTGCATCCCCCTTTGTGGTCAGCCACAAAGGACCAGCAGACATCTGCACAGGGATGTGGACTTTTCTTCTCAGGGTATCCACTGCTTTGGTTCTCCTAAATACAAGGCACTTAACTTTTAAGCTGCTGTGATTCTGCCACATCTTTTTGAGATGGTACAGTAGTTGGAATGCAGATAATTAAAGAGGAAGCTAATACATGTGCAACTGGGAGTCCAGACAAATAATACAGCAACATCAAAGGGAGAGGGCCCTAACAAGTCAGTGTCTGCTGACAGAATCAGTAACTTATGCAGAATCATTTCTGCAAAGGAAGAAGCCATGCTTGCAGTAGGAAAAAGGTCTCTGCTAGGAAACTGATTTTTAGAGCTCTGTTGAGTGCCCCATACTCCAGAAGCTGTAGCTTCTCTGTCTTTGAGAAGCAGGACTTAAATGTGATATTAACTCCACCTTGATAGACATCATAGTTGTAGCCCCTTTTTGTGACAGTGCTATGAAGATGTTTGCAAGTTGGTTCCTAACAGGCTAGTGATTGGAACTAGAATTTGCCTTACCATGTCCCCGTGTCTTGCTCTGATTATGCCAAGTACCAAACCACTTAATGTAGTTATATGACTTTGGGGGCCCTAATATTTTTCCCTTATATTGCACAGACTTAGATAAGTTACCTTTTAACACAGCGTTGCATGTAATATGCCTTTAAAGTCATATCATACGCGTGTTTTAAGGAGAAATTAAGACGTGGTGGGCATTTGAAAATAACTTATTTAACTGAAATAGGATGGAAGAGAGGAAGAGATTGAGTAATAAACTTGCTCATGTAATGCTAAAAAGATCAAAAGTTGGAAAGGAAACAATTCCTTTATACAGAAAACAGCAGTATCTTTAAGACAACCTCTCAGTTTCATTGGCGCAAAGATGGGTTTGGTCTGTTCACAGCTTCAAGAATAGATTTACAAAACTGTAGGAATAAGTTGAGAAATCCTGGTGGTTACCACTGCTCCCAGCTTATGCTCGCTATGTCTTGCCCTGACCTCCAGCAAACAATATTTCCACTTTCACCCACTCCAGGCCTTTCAGGCGGGTGGAGTTTCAGCTGCAGTCCCAAAGCCAGGTTTCACCATGTTTTGGTTTTGATTCCTTCGTCATGTTTCTATGCTGTTCTCAGTGCTTACCATTAAACAGAAACATCTCTGGCCAGAGGGCTTCAAGGGTAGATGTGCAGCATTTCAAAGGCTACGGAAAAACTTTGGCCGTGGGTGTAGTAGTGGAATGAAATAGAAGAGAACTAAGATAGAGGACTTCTTGTAATGCTGTTCTCTCTGTTGAGGCTGTACTATTCTTACAGATGTAAAGGGGGGAAATATAGGAATATTTCATAGTAAACCAAAACTAGAATAAGCCCTTTACCAGCAAGTAGATATATTTCGTGCTCTTGAATGCTAACAGTGTAAATAAGCAATTCCAGACAAGGTACTTGAAGCAAGATACTAGTGAGAACAGATAAGGGATGATGTTGAGGTGGTTTTGTTGGTCGATTATTTGTTACTTCGTGCCTCAGCTCTCTTCCAAGATATGTAAACTTAGGAGATGTTTGCATGAAATGATGATTTTAGAGAAACACAGGACATAGAAACAGTCACACTGTGAATTTATTGCACAGCTACCAATGGTCGTAATACAAGGGTAAGCATCCCCAAACCTTGCAGCCGTACAAAAGGAAGAAGTTAGACAGCAGTGTTCCATTCAAGCCTATGCTGAGTTGCTCTCTTTGAATGGAGAGGCAAGGAAATGACATTTGCATAGCATGAAGAAAACACAACAAGAAAATAATAACTAAATCCATAATTCAGCAAATGCTTTTTAGTCTAATGGCTCAATATACAGACAAATAACCCAGGCTCTAACTATTTCACGTGACTGAAGAAAGACCATTATGATGTGTGGTGTCAGCTTTCACATACTGATTGCTTAGACTAGTTTTGCAGGCTTTTAAGAAAAAAGTAATTACAGTAAAAAGCAGAGGAAATTAAACCACAACCCCCCTAGATTCTTTACTATTAATGGTGTGATCTGGTAAGAAAAGTCATAAACTTGAAACATACTTTAGGAACTTAAAAATAAAATATAGCATTTTGCTGAAAGCATAGTAAATGATCATGCATCCTTTCCTGTGCGGTACTCTTCTGATTATCCAAAGGGAGTGAAAGGTTGTGGGCTTTGTAATGCTTTGGGGTATTATTTAAAATAATTTTCTTTTAAGTGATATTACCATTCGACTGCTGCACAGTGCTGAGCACATTCATCTTCTGCTGAGGCTGCAGGGAAGAGATGGCACTCAACATCTTACCAAAATTTGCCAACTCTTACTTGGGAGCTTCGCGATCAAGTGTTGAATTGGCAGAATCTTTCACGTTACTGTGATGGCTGGAGAACACTTCAACTATGAATTTTTATCTGGATCAGGGTCAAATGTGGACATTTGTCATTTGTGCCTGATCACAAAATAGTGGGTTGTGGTGTTAGAAAATTTGCCTAAATTAATCAGCAGCATTTGACAGGAGAAGTAGAATTCTGCAAGAGTAATCATTAGCAGTAGAAAATGCTCATGTATGGGGAATATATTACATATGTAGGGTAATAGATTTAATGTAAGCATTTCTGAGAATTTGGCAAAGGCTTGCCAATAAGAAAATTCTATATTTGACGTTCATCTTGGCAAAATTCTCCATAAATGACTGGCATCACAATCAGTCTGTGCAAAAAATAAGGAAAAACAATTTGTAAGAGTTGAATATAAATTAAAAACTGATCTAATTTGTATATTTAAGTCAGACTTGAGTATTGTTAGAAAGTTGTTGGGGATTCGTTTTTCTTCAGTTCTTGGGTGTCCTTCTAATACGTTAGATGAGAGTGAACAGCATTCCACATCTTCAAATCTGTTCAAAAAGCTGCCTCCTCATGCTCTGGAGATCAGATTGCCAGACAAGAGATAGGAAAGCAGCAGGAACAAAGGAGAGCTGGCTGCGCAGGTTTGAAATGGTTTTTTGGCATTGCAGTAAAAGAAATTCGAGATGGAGGATTATAAATGCCATAAAGCTGAATATGTCCTGTATAAATCGAGTGCTTTTTTTCCATTTTTCTGGGTTTTTTTATTTTTTCTTCATTCTAAGGGGCATGACTGTTATGTTTTTGTATTTGTTTCCCTAGCATATTAAAAAAATTTGTCATTGCTGAGGTTCATTTCTTGCTGTGACATTTCTTTATCAAAGGCATGTTATGTTTGTTGGTACTTAGAGATGACTGTTGAGTTTATTAATCAGTTTGACGGTTCTCGTTTATGAAGCGTCTTAAAAGAAAGGCTTGCTCTGAAGGTTGTATTACAATTCCTTATCTGTCCTAGACCGATGCAGAAAAGCATTCCCAGGTTGAGCGGAATTCCTTATGGTCTGGTGATGAAGTCAAGAAATCAGACGGAGGATCTGATAGCGGCATAAAAATGGAGCCAGGATCTAAATGGAGGCGGAATCCCTCTGATGTGTCGGATGAATCTGATAAAAGCACTTCTGGTAGGAAGAACACTGTTATTTCGCAGACGGGCTCCTGGCGACGGGGCATGTCAGCTCAGGTTGGCATTACCACACCAAGGACTAAACCTTCAACCACCTCAGGCACATTAAAGACACCTGGAACAGGTGAGAAAAGGTGTAAGATATAAACAAGCCAAAAAGTGTGTTCGGTATGAAAACAGTTTAAATACTTTCCAGAGGCAGAACCTGAACTTCAGGTAATCCTGTCTTTATTTTTAGGTAGTGTTTTAACCTATGCAGCATCTCATATGTTCACATTTCTATTTCTGTTCATTTGAAAATGCATATTTTGGATTAGTACACAGTGGAAGTTGTTTTCATGACAACTCTAGTCTTAAGCCAAGCTATTTATTGGGCACAGTATTGCCGTATGAAGAATAAATAATATAATTTCAGCTTTTGACGTCACGGTTAACTTTAAGAACATACAGTATATGTGGTTGAGGAGATTTCCCACCCCCCCATACTAAACCAGCATGTTAATTTACACTAAACACTATTTAGTTCTGGATTTTCTTGTAAATGTATTAGTGATTTTAGCACTTGCAGATGTGTGAATGAAAATGGATTGAATTTGCATAATTAAGTAATATAAGTTAATACCTCTCCTCTTGTTTGATTGTGTACACAATTGTACATGAAAAAGTTGAAGTTAGAAGCTTTCTTGAACAATGCCTCTTAGAAAAATTATGCTAATGGCCTAACACTACTTCTCTCTAATGATAAAGAAGGGTCAATCTGTGGTAGCTACAGAGGGAAACATTTTTTTTCTTATCTGTCACTATTACATAAGACTGTTCTGCTTTTCATATTCTCAAGGGCAAACACACCACATACTTTCTCTGGCAAGTCTGCATGTATAACTCACTAGAGTGGCATGTAAGATCAGTGCAGACTAGATCATAATTTTTAACCACACTCTGGTGGCTAACACGCTTTTGCTTTTCATGCTGCTTTGAGTTTCATCATTTGCTTGATGTTTTCAAGTCATTAAATATTAGAATTCTTTTTCTGTTTTTGTAGG